AGAGACTTTCTGTAAGTAAGACTTCCATTGTACCAGTACATGTACCGGTTACATATGGCAATAAAGTTCAAGTTCATTAAAGATGACACTCAAAAAAAAAAAAGTCTTATTTGTCTTAAACAAGGCCCTTTCGAATTTGCAGCCCTGTGGTTACTAAACAGTCAGTGAACCTTTCGCCACCCAGATCTCTTTTCTTTGGCGAATGGGTGAAGCTGCAGACTTTAGAGCCTGGCACTGAAATACTCTGGAAATCCTGACAGCATGCTCTTAAACACACAGCAAGCTTCATCCGGCTTTTTTAAAGGAGGCCCTGAGGATGGGAGCTGGGTGTAGGAACCTCCAGCCTCCTTGCTCCCTCTGGGATGCACCCCCAGGCAGTTCAACCCCCTGCAGTGGAAGAACTCTGGACCACAGCAAAGGGCAGGAAGCCACCAGTTTAAAAACAGACCGTAGCGACATTGTATCATTTCACAGCAGAAGAAAAGAGTGCTCAGAACGTGACGCTGATACCCCTGGAAATCACACCGGCTGGGGCTTTCACACTTTCCAGGCTATCTGCATGCAAAAGCTGGAGCATCCAGGGAAGATCCATTCATCCTTAACCGCAACCCTCTGTCCAATACATCAGAGACATTCTAGAACACCAGTTCGCAGTTGTTCTAAAAAACAGTGCAGGCTTCTGCCAAGCTCTGCTTAGGCTATAATATAACCTCCGTAAGAGAACATGAGGCTCGGCTCAAGACCAGGAAAAGAATGAGCCAAGATCAAAACGGAAGCCTGCTCCCGCTTATTAAAAACAAATGCTATAGAGTTGTTCACTTTGGATCAATTGCCACAAGAGGGCACCATTTTCCCACTAGCGTTTCCCATGAGCATTTTCTGAACAGCATAAAATCGAGTCACAAGGCTCCAAAGAATTTAGTCAAAACCTTTCCTTTCATTGGCTGTACAACATCCATGCCTTTCGGGTAAATGACATGTGTTTTACCATATTTTCACAGTTGTTTATCACAAGCCTTGCGAGATGCACTGAGATCCCACAAACTATTCTGAAAATACGTGTATAAAATCGTCCACCAAAGAGGAAAAGTGGGTTCACTTGTGAGTGGATTTTACTTCACAAGTATCTCTTGTGACAGACTCAGAGCAGAGCTTTCAGTGCCAGATGACAACAGCTTGTCCTCTAGTAATAATTCAGCAACAGTGCAGACCCTTAAGGTAAGATGTCTTTACTGGGACTAAAGTATATTAGAAACTTTCCCAGTAACACCCCAACACAGACAGCTCTGCTCCCTGAATGAACAAAGCCAGATAACGTTTTCCCCTCAAATTTAAAAGGACCATGGAGTTATGAGGACTCAGGACTGGCCTCCCTTTTTTCCAGAATGGCTCAGGTTAGCAGCTGTGTTGGCAAGCAGGCAATCCGGCATCACTGTGAAGCACAGGAATCATTATTCTCTATTTCAGTGCCTTCGCAGAGGTGGTGCTTTGGGTCTAGATGATAAAAAGCAGCTCATTCTGACGCTATAGCAGCCTTCATGTCAGGTCATTTGGATGCTGAGGGATCATTAAAACTGAGTTTCTGTCTTCCTTAATATGTTTTCAGATCCTGTACGTGGGTGTCTAGGCTAACACAGGAAACACAGATATTAAAACTGTACTAATTTCCTCAGGGGTGTACTCACTGAAGCACGTCAATCTCATGGTTTAAGAACAGAATAATCCCGATCATTATCGACAGTGGCACGTTCAAATCCCACTAGCTCGCGTGTCTGCTTCACAACTGAGCAGCAAATGAAAGCTAAAAAAAAGTCCTTCAAAACATGCCCTGCTGGAGGACCAAGTTGCAGACTTTGCAAAAAGTTTAAGAAACTGAGAACTTCTAGGTTGAAAACCAAGCTTGAACAGACAGCGCTGGTGTTCCCTCACAGCCTGGGGTTCTCGTTTGAAAATGGGGTGACTACATGAATACAGCTTGGGGGCGACTCTGAGGTCGCTCAGATGAAGGCGTCCAGTCCAGAAGGGGTGAGAACTGACTAAGGGTCACAGTCGGTCAAGATCACACAAGAACATTTAACCCTCGCTCTGCCCGAACAACAAACAGCATTACTATACATAGAGGAAGGTGGCTGAGAGCTGGTTGCATCCCCTTTCAAGCAAAGATTTGATCTCGTGAGTCAGTATCTCCAAGACTGTCAAAAAGCAGAAAAAATAAGAAGTTTGAATTGTTTCCGCAAAGCTGCAAAATCAGGACTTCACTGTTCCGGCTGTTAGTTACCTACAGGTACTGTCCACAGGACTGAAGGAACAGTGACTGCACTGACCATGTGCCCCAGCTAAAACCGGAGGTCACTGGTATTCAAAACAGGACATGGCCTTCACAATGCTCCTTGCTGAGGTCAGAGGTCACTGCTTCTCTCCTGGAGAGCAGAAACCTTCATGAGGGTGACAATACTGTACATCATATCAATTTACCTTCATACAAAACAGCATTACAGACGGACGTAACTTAACTATGCAGTGACCTCCTCTGGATGGACCTTTCTTACAGCTGTCAGTACCCTGAAGTGCCATTTTTCCTGGACTCTGGATATTTCTGAGCCCGTAATCCGTAAGGCAGGCCTGCGCTGCACAGCACTGGGGCTGGTGGCCACCAGCAACATCACTGCTCAGCCGATTAGCCAACAGGGATAAGCCGCTCCTCCCCAGGGGATAAGGAGCTTAGCAGCAGCAGCGCTTTGCACGTCTTCTACCAGAACTTTCCGGGTGTCCAGAAAGGCAACGACTATCCTGTCATACTGGTGCTCTGGGAGTCCCAGGACGGTACCGAGCTAAGAACTAGACCTCTGAAAGGCTTCAAGGGTTTTGTTACTATGTGAAGCAAACAAAACCTAATAGAGTCAGGTGTCCCTGATGTTAACAATCAGGAATACGTGACAAGTGACTTTCCTGTTTTTTTGTCTTGCAGGGGCAGGAGAGTCCGGGAAGAGCACGATCGTCAAGCAGATGAAGTTAGTATTTGCACGCAGAACCTGACTCGCACTGGTGCCACCCCCCGAGTGCCTCATGAATCATTGCAGCTCCCATGACCAGTGTGCAGAAACAAGAGACCACATTGAGGAATGAACTGTCAAGCTTTAAACACAGAAAAAAAACATATAGCCTTAATGCTAGATTGTCCATGTGCAAAAGCCCCTCAGCTCAGTTGCGCCCAAGAGGGTCTGGCTCCCCCTGACCCCCGTCATCTGCAGGATCAAGAGCACAGGCATCCAGATAAATTATGCCTGCTTGCAACAAGAAGACAGCATTCCACTGGTGCATTTGCAGTAAAATCACAATTTCACAAACGTCTAACATGTTTCCTGATCACAGGGAAGTGACACGCCAAGCCTGTCTGACACTCCAGCCTCCTCAAACACAAGCATAGGCATCAGAATTGACCACAAGGCTGAATTCTCCCTCCTCTTCCCACTGGCGCGGTTTTATTTAGTGTGACCAAAGTAGAAAGGGCCTAAAAGGCTTCCCACACAGACTGGCAGGAGTGCCAGTGCCCACAGCCAGCAGTGCTGACAGATGTGGGCGCATGGGCTGGGGTATTTTGGGGAAATGAGCTGGAGGGGTGGCTGGGAACAGCATCTGTGAGCATATCCGATAAGACCCTGAAAAATTACAGCAGCTGGGCAGCCACTCCAACGAACCCCAGCTCCTTTAAGAGTGGCTAAAAAGAAAACTAAAGCTTCCTCTTGTTTGAAACACTTTTTATTTTCTTTAAAAAAGAGAAGGAAAAGAGGAAACCTGAAAAAATTAAAATCAATTAGCAAGACTTAGTGAAACTCCAGTCAGATTTATATACTGTACTGTCGCTCCGAGCAATCTGAAGTAACACGAATGCGCCACTAGGTGGCACATTTAAGAAAGAGCAGCATTGAGCAGTGCTGAGAAAGCGAATGGCACAATGCATCCCGAAACGATTTAGAGAGTGAATTACCTTCTCCAGGACTGGAAAAAAACCATGTTTCCCAGATGTGGAGATGAAGACTCAAAATTGTTTTTTCTTTTCATCCCTTATCCATCCTGTCACCAGAAAGCCATTTGTCCAGGTTAGTGTTGCAGTGAGCTAGTCCTTCAAGCCCTGGGGCACGAGATGGGACAGAGCACACACTTGTTCTCCTTCCTTGAAAGGGACTCCAGATCATCTCTCCAAAATCACTGACAGACATTACAGAGTGTCAGAATTTATGTCTGAAACCAGGAACCAGATCGAATTGCATGTTTCAAGCACAAACTGATCAGCACAGCCAACAAAGCCAAGAGTTGCAGACCCCTGGATGATGGATGAATGTGCTTGGGCTCAACTCATTCTGTAACCTTTTGTTTTGCTCTTGTAATCCTTCAGGATTATCCATCAAGATGGCTACTCAGAACAGGAGTGTCTGGAATTCAGAGCCATCATCTACGGCAATATCCTGCAGTCCATCGTGGCCATCATCAGGGCCATGAGCACCCTGGGGATTGACTATGGC